CCCGAGTGCTGGGATTACAGGCGCGTGCCACCACGCCCGGCCTCTGTTCTTTTTCATTCTGGCCCTCCTCCCCATCCCCTGAACATCACGGACTTGTACAGATTTGCCTCTTCTGATGATCACATGTGTCGTTCTTATCCGCAGTAATTATGTCACATAGCCTCGCCATGTACACTGAGTTCCCAACACTGGATCACAGCTCCTCTACTCACATTTTCATCAACTGACTAATATAGAACCATGTTTTGTACACATTTAGAGAAATCTTATTTAAGTTGGGTGCAGTGGCACACGCCAGCTACTCAGCAGGCTCAGGAAGGAGGACCACAAGCTCAAGATCAGCCTGGGCAATGTAGCTGTTATCGGGCTGGCGATTTAGGCTCAGTGGCACTGTGCCTGCCTCGAAAGTACAAGGTCCCGAATTCGATCCCCAGTACGAAGAAGAAGAAAAGGTGCCTAGTGGCCCACTCTCATACTGCAGGGTGTACTTCCTGCTCCGCCCCTCCTCTTCCTTCTTTTTTTTTTGGTAACAGGACCATGCGCTTGTGAGGCCCCAGCCTTGTTAGGTATACTTCTTTTCCTCTTACTTGACCCAAACTTGCTCTGCAGAGCATGTTTCTTTTCCTACCTTTAAAAACCTTTACAACTGTTAAAAAAAAAAAAAAAATGAAGGAAGGAAGCCTTACTTAATATATAACACTGATCTATCACGGTTAACTCATGGTCACAGTACTGTATGTAACTCATTCCTGAATAAAGTTTAGCTAACACACATGCTGTCTCCATAAGACACGCCATACTCTTCTCATGCTCAGAAGCACTAGACAGTTTTTTAGCACTGCATTTGAGGAGCTTTTTTTTAAAAAACCAAACTTGGGATCAAATGCAGGGGCATTCTACCACTGAGCTAAAACCCCAATCTTGTTAGAGACAGAATTTCTCTAAACTGCTCAGTTGGGACTATGAGCTTGCAATCCTCCTGACTCAGCCTTCCAAAGAGATGCATCTCCATACCTGGATGGCCATTTAAAAGGTCAAATCACAGGAGTGAGGATTTACCTCAGAGGTGCTGCACCTGTATGGCAAGGGCAATGTCCTGAGTTCGATTCCTGATACCAAAAACCCGAGTCAAATCACAAAATGAAAAGCACAACACACAAAATGTAGGGACCATGTGCTTATAGTATGAAAGCTGAAACAAGAAAGTAGAAAGTGTCAAACTGTTCAAATTAGGTGAGTCAAATTTTTCACTGCTTTGTGCATGTCTGTGATTGGTTGCAAAAGCGTCATATTGACTTTGATTTTGGGATTACAAAAATTTTTAATAGGGCCGGGGATTTAGCTCAGTAGTTCGGTGGCCTGCCGTGCAAGCGCAAAGACTGGAGTTCAATACCCGGTAAAAAAAAAAAAAAAAAATTTTTTTAATACGTAGGTGAATTCACAAACAAAATCTGAACAACAAGGCTCAACTACAAATAGAATCATTTAATATGTGGTCATGTGTGACTAGTTATTTCATTTAGTGTAATATTTTCAAGGTCTGGGCCAGGTGTGGTGGTGTACAACTATACTTCCGGCCCTCAGGAGGATGAGACAGGAGATTTGCTGCAAGTATGAGGCCAGCCTGTGCTACATAGTGAGTTTAAGGCTAGAGCAAGACCCTGTCTCCAAAAACATAAATAAAAGTTTGCATATGCTGAAGCATGAACCAGTATTTCACATCTTTTTATAGTTTAACTTTATTATATATTCCACTGGCTCACTGACGAAGATGCACTGACCTAGGAGCTTCTCAAGGGTTGGGATGCGCCAACCCTTGCGTATCCATGTGTTAATCGGGCACCTCAATTCTCAGAGCAGTCTCTTCTCTCCACACTGCCTTTCACAGCACTGAATGGGGACCTGCCACGCTCAGCTCATCCATTTACCAACTCACGGACACGGCTGCTTCTCCCTCTTGAGTACGGAGAAACTGCCATGAACATTTGTGTGCAAGTGTTTTGTGGACACAGGCTTCATTTCTCTCAGGTATATATGTCTAATCATAGGAGATTTTTTTTTTTTTTTTTTTTTTTTGTACAGGGGATCGAACTTGGGTCCTTGCACTTGCGAGGCAGGTGGTGGAACCCCTGAGCCAAATCCCCAGCCATATGAGGAGTTTTTCCCAGCTTACTGTTTCCTTTACTATGCTTCATTTCATACTAAGTATATTTTAACTCTACGGTTGACAATCTTAACATTTTTCATTCTCTGTATCTAGTGGTAAAAATATTATCTTGGGACTCTCTAGATGGGGTGACCCTGAACTGGAAATGTAGCCAGCCTAACGACCAATGAAGGCTGACTGGTAGCTGGCTGAAGCAACAAGAATTTGTGAACCTCAAGGCTGCATCTGAGAGGAGTCGCCAATACAGTGCTAAAGCTTCTAAGGACAGGGCAAGAGGAAATCATGAGCACATGCTGTGAAGACCGAAGAGGGCTGGAAGGAGATTAAAGCAAGAGGGTTGCACATTACTTCATGACTTTAGGAAACGAATGAGAAAATGGCAAAGCATTTAAAAAGATGTTGAAAGGATGGTGGCTGTTGAACAGCAGTTAGAAAATAGGACCAGACAGGGCCAGGGATTTGGCTCAGTGGTTCCACCCCGTGCCTCCTAAGCGCAAGGCCCCGAGTTCAATCCCCAGTGCCAAAAAGGAAAAATAGATAGATAGATAGATAGACAGACAGACAGACAGACAGACACAGAAAAGAGAAGAGGACGAGAAAAACAGGGACACTGAAAATATAAGAACATGACAAGGAGAGCAGCGATGGCCCAGGACAGCCGTCACTGGGGACAAGTGGGCCCAGGGAGGGCTAGAGAGCAACTGAGGGACTCAGATGCCTGCCTGACCTGCCTCTGTAAACACCTCCCTTGTCCTGCACGCCCCTCCCTCTTCAGAGCTGCCAGACCTCCTGTCCAGACACGGTCTGCTGCCTCTCTTGAGACTAGACTCGCCCAAGGCAGAGAGCCGAGAGGAGTGACACTGTATCAATTCTGCATCTGGGCCATAAGTGGCCAGGCAGTTTCCACTTTCAGCTTCCTGCTGTGAAGAGGCACAATTTAGTGACCTCATGGACAAAAAGAGGCCACAAGGAGAAATGAGGGGCCCAGCTAACAATAGGTGCCACACATGTGAACAGTATGAACTGGCTCATTCCAACCTCTGAGCTCCCAGGTTGACACAGCTACACAAGCAAACCCAGGAACAGCTGCCCAGCCAAGCTCAGCCAACCTACTACATGAACATTAATAAACTGCTGTCACTTAAAACTGCCGCTAAGGGGCTGGAGATTTAGTTCAGTGGTGCCACCACCTGCTTTGCAAGTGAGTTTAATCCCCAGTACAAAACAAAAACAAAACTGCCACTAAGATTTTTTTTCAGTTTGTGGTACTAGAGGCTTGAGCCTAGGCCCTTGGTACTGACCTACATTCACAGGACTTTAGTTTTTGAGACATAGTTCTGCTAAATTGTTAACCTGCCCACGTTGGGCTAACACCTGCAATCCTCCTGCCTCGGCCTAGGCCTACACCACCTGGACCAGCTAGTCACTAAGTTTGCTTATTTATTTGCAGTGCTGAGAATTAAACACAGAGCTCTGCATAGCAAGGCAAGTGCTCTACCAGTGAGCTATACCCACAAGAAAGCCACTAAGTTTTGAGGGGGTTTTCTAATGCCAGAATAGATAACAGAAATACCAGAGTGTGTGGCATGAAGCGCTGGGGACAACATTCCTGGTGTATATGCGGACAGGATCAAGGCCATGCTACAAAGCATCTACAGAATAATTTTCTAGGAAGAAATCCTAAACTGTCCCAAATCACAAAATAGTAACCCTGAGATGGGCATGGTAGTGCACACCTGTATCAGCACTGTGGAGGCTGAGGCAGGAGGATCACTCCACGAGTTCAAGGCCAGCCTGGACTACACCAGTGAATTCGAGGCCAGCTTGAACCACACAACAAGACCTTTTCTAAGAAAAAAAATAAAAAAAAATAAAAAAATAAATAAATTAAGCATGTTTTACAAAAGGATGAAGGCCACCCTAGATTATCTGGCTCTTTGCGTGGTGTGTGGGTGGGTGGAGGGCACCCCCAACTTGAAAAAGTGGAGGATGTGGGCCACACACTAAGATCTGAAGCTAAAACAGGAACAATACTGCATGGCCCTCTTAGGCAGCCAGCTCCCACACCCTGAGGAGACACTGGACTCTGTAGCCAGAGTGAGAGGTGCATGGCTTTCTTGGGCTGCTTGGCCTAGAAGGACTTCTTCCCAGACATGGTGATTGGACAGAGATACAACTCAGCAAGGTCCCTGGGAACAAGGCCCAACAAGACACTGCTGAACAAATGTAGCCATGGGTGTGACACAGAAGTAAACTCCTGTGTAGAAAAATATCAGGCCATGTGCAAAGAGAATGGTGTCAGGCTGTTATAAACTTTTCTCTTACATCAGCAATGTCAACTACTCAGCTGTCTTTGAGCCCAGTGATACCTTTTATGGTTGACTATTTCCAAGGAATAAGGCTTGATTTTCTTTTTGCAAAAGGTTTCAACTTCCACTTTCCAGGTTTTGGCCAAAAAAGGACTACCTGAGTAACTGAGCCTTACCTGCAGCCTTGATAATACCGGTTTCATCCATTCTCTGTAATTTAAACAGACCTTACGTTGATGCAGTTACTTCTTTATAAAAAAATATATATGTGTGTATGTGTGTGTGTGTGTGTGTGTGTGTGTGTGTGTAAAATAACACCTATTTTAATGCATTATATTTGTGTATATAATTTAGAAAGCCCTTTTGGTACCCTCTCCATTATTATGGTATTTTTCAATCTGATTAGCAAACAGTCTTTTAGAGGGTAATTCAGTTACTTCTTACTGAGAGCACCTCCTAAAACATAAGGATTTCAAAATAAAATTAGGATTTCAAAATAAAGCCTGGGGGCAGGGCGTGGTGGCACACACCTGTAATCCCAGCACTCGGGAGGGTGAGGCAGGAGGATCACTGTGAGTTCGAGACCAGCCCAGGCTACATAGTGAGTTCCAGGTCAGTGTCAACTACACAGTGAGACGAAAGAAGGGCGGGGGGGAGAGGGAGAGGGAGGGAGAGAAAGCGAGCCAGGGCGAGGGCAGAGGGGAGAGGGCAGAGGGCAGAGGGCAGAGGGGAGGGGAGAGGGGAGAGGGAGGGAGAGAAAGCGAACCAGCCAGCCTGAAATTAATAAAAACTAGATACAACCCGTAAGTTAGCTGCTAGTTCATGGGACAAGAAAGAGGGCAAATGATACTGAATCACATACTTGGCCCAGAAAAACACACACCTGTATGCTCACCCAGACACACGGACACGCACACCACAACCAACTTCAGGGAGTTCTAGGCCAACTACATGCTTTATTTGGAAATGCTGCTCTCCAGAATGACCCTGTTCTTCCCACTTATCAGCCTGGAAGGCCCCACCAAGCCTCCGCTCCCGTTTCAGTTCAGGTGCCAAGTGCTGTGTGAGCCGGCTTTAAGCTCCCCTGTGAGGCAGCTCCACAACCCTTCCCTACTTCTAGAGACCAGTGCGCCGATGTGCAGCAGACTTCTGGGCTGGTCTCAGCGCCAGTGGGACCTAACCACCAAAGGAGGGCCTCCTCGGTACCTGCCAGGCTGGTGTTTCAATGAGACCAGCCATCCCACACGACATGACGGTGGGGCCTCAGCAGCACTTCCGCGTGAACTTCGGTCGGTAAAGTGCGGCTTCTTTTCTCTGGACTGACGGAGGACTGCCTTACCTTGGTCGGTCTTGGTCGCTGGCTTCCAGTTCTCTGCACTAATTACCGGCAGGCAAACCTGTCCCTTTTCATCAATGTTCGGGTGATAGATCTTCGTTTTAAATGTGATCTTCGGTGGTTTGAATGGATACTCTGCTGGAAAGTTGATTTCGATTCTAAAGGCCCCCTTGTCATATGGAGGGTTGTCCTGGAAGGAGAGAGAAGAAAATGAACACACTGAGATTCACACATCTGCAGCTAAGATAGGGCTGTTCTAACTGTTCACAGGAAAGATTCAGTTATTTCAAGTGGTGCAGCGACGGAAGACTTGTCACCTGTAGGGCAGCCCAACCATCAGCCAGTATTTCTAGAGCAAGGTATCTGTTAAGCTATGGAAAAGCTTGAGATCAAAGTCCTGACATCTTTATGCTTTTTTTAAAAATAGGCTTATTTTTTAGGACAACTTTAGGTTCACAGTAAAACTGAGAAGGAAGCGCAGGCGTAACCCGTATACCGTCCCGCCCACACAGAGCTTCTCCCACCATCAGCAAACCTGATCAAATGGGTAAATTTGCTACAATTCATGAGCCTCTACCAACACAGTATCACCTGAAGTCCTTGGCTCAGGATGAGGTTCACCCCTGGCATTGTACACTGTATAGGTTTTGTGTAGTTCTACAGGATAATGGGATCATACACTGTGTGGCTGCTATAATCTGAAAGTCTGCGTCCTTCCAAAATTCATCCATTAAATCCTAATCATGAAGGCTGTGAGTAGCTCAGTGGTAGAGCTTGTGCTTATTAGACATAAGGGCCTGGGTTCAAGCCCTGCACAAAAGATTCACAATCTCACCAATGTGGTTTTTAGGACATGGGGCCGGGCCACTGGGAAGTGAGGGTCACTGTGAGATCAGTGGCCTTATGAAAGAAGCCCCAGGGGTCTCTCTCATTACTCTCACCATGTGAGGACATAGCAAGAAGACAACACTATGAACAGAAAACAGGCCCTCCCCAGACACTGTATGTTCAGTGCCTCGTTCTTAAAACTTCCCAGCCCAGAACTATAAGAAGTAAATTAAGCTCTATAAGCTATACAGTAATTTTTTTTACAGTAGTCTGGATTGGCTAAGACAATAACCTTCTTGGAGTAGTTTAACTTAGTAATTCATGTCTTTTTAAGTGTGAATATTATTTGTCTAGATTTCTTGTTCGTTCGTTCATACATCCACTCGCTGTACTGCTAAATGAATCCAGAGCTGCAGACTGAGCTAGTTCTCTGCCTTCATTTTAAAATTCTGAGTCAGCCTTGGTAAGTTAGCTAGGCTGGCCTTAAACTTGGCGATTGTCCTGCCTCAGCCTCCCAAGTAGCTGGGATATAGGGCTAGAACACAGCACTCAGCCCATACTACAATTTACTTCCGCATTCACCTACTAAAACATCTTGGGTTCTTCTATGTTTCAGTAATTACGAATACAGCTTCAGTGAACATCTGCATTCAGGTTTCTGTGTGGACTTGTTTTTAACTCACCTGGGAAAATAGCAAGGAGCACACATGGCTGCATGCACGGTGAGGGTATGTGTAGTTTTATAGGAAACTACCGAACTGTCTTCCCGTGTGGCTGTTCCACTTTTGCATTCGTATCAATTAATGAAAAGTTCCCGTTGTTCCACACGCTATGAGCATTTGGAGTTGTCAGTGTTTTACACTGATGATTCTAATGGGTGTATATTAGTATTTCATTGTTACTTCAATTTGAAGCACTCCAGCAACATTCTATTGTGCTTCTATGACACCCAGATTTGTGGTTCTGGGGACTGGGACTAGGGTTTTTGTTTTCAGAGAAGGATCTCATTATGTTGTCTAGGCCAGGTTGACTTTGAAATCCTAGGCTCAAGAGATCTTGGTGACTCAGCCCAGAGAGCTAGGACTACAGGCACTAAACATTTGTGAGAGGTAGTTGTTTAGGTTGCTTGTTTTTAGTTTTGCTCGGTTTTTCATCACCCACCTCCACATTATTTCCTTGTAATTGATCAGTGGTGCAGTCTTTAATCCCAGCACTGAGGAGGCTGAGGCAGGAGAACTGCCTTGAGTGAGGCCAGCCTGGGCTACATGTAGTGGCACACATCTATAATCCTGGCACTGGGAGGCTGAGGCAGGAGGATTGCCAAGCTCAAGCTGTGCCTGGGAAACTTATTAAGACCCTGTGTCATAATTTAAAAAAAAAATTTTTTTTGATACTGGGAATCAAACTCAGGTCCTCCTGCTTGCAAGGCAGGAGGTAGAACCACTGAGCTAAATCCCCTGCCCCATAATAAAAAATTTTAAAAAGGGCTGGGATGTAGTCCAATACAAAGACCCTGGGTTCAATCTCCAGTATTAGTGGGGAAAAGGGAAAGAAAAAAATGGAATTTGACACAATTATATCAACATTCATGGAGGACAAACATCACAGGCATAAGGGTATGATATAACCACAAGATGACTTTTCATACTTTCGAAAAAGTTTTATATTTTAGCTATGAAAGTCAATTACCACAGTCAAATTTGTTTTTTTTTTTTTTTC